AGCTTCTTAGCTTTGGGCTTTAACGTCTTTCCGTTCTGCATGCGCTTTGCAACCAGCGCCCATTCGTACTTGACTTTGGCTCTGTCCTCGGCCGATGCTCCGGGGCATTTGTCGTATAGATGGGCTGCATCGCCGCACTTCAGACACCCCGTCGGCATGACTTCTCTTGGCTCACGTTGTTTGACTTTTGACTCCCAGCCGTAGACACGCCGCACTGTTCTGCTAGGCCCAGCTGAATTGGCTTTTAGGATCGTTCGTCCCTTTTGCCGAATCACGTCCGGTTCGTCGACTTCGTCCTCGCTGTCGTTCGTTAGTGGGATGAAGTCCTCCGTCTCCACAAGCTCTTTGGCTTTGCGTTTTCTCGCTTCTCTCTTTTGCTCTTCCCACACCCGGAAATTCTGTGATTCCCATCGGTTTTTGAAAGGGTTCACGTATCCACCATGTGTGGCAGCCTGTTTGAAGGTCTTTTTCCGCATCTCGGGCTTCTTCAGATGTCCTTTCATCACGCGTGCTTCGATTCGTTCGTCTCAGTCCGCCAAGAATTTACACACGCGGCTGAGAACGTCGTCGTCCTTCATGTCCATGTGGATTCCGTGGAACAGCAGCGGGATGTCCGCTTCAACGCCGTTCTTGGGTTCGTCGACGATCTTTCGTAGCTCTGTTTCGAGCACGGTTTCGTCGAGTTCCTTCGGATCGCCTCGTAGCTTGCGCATGATCATGAACTGCTTCAACAGTCTCTTGTCTTCGAAGCACTCCTTCCATCCTTCGCGGTAGTTCCGCACTTCGAGGTTTCGACGCATGCATACGGCCCGCAGGTCTTCTTCGTATGTCTCTCGGTCGAGCAGCCACTGGCGCACTTGTTCCTGGCGGATGCCCTTCAACTTAGGGCAGCTGGGGACTGGGTGTGCACCCCCGTCGATTCGCTCCAGCGGTCGTTCGCGCGGTCCGTTGCTCGTGCCTCTATGGGCGTCGTCGCTGCGGCCCTGACGCGGTCGGTCCTGTCCTCTCTGGGACATCCTTGATGAGTGCTAGTCTTGATGTACTAAAGAATTCTTTGTCGCAACTGCGCCTCCGTGCAACTTCTCAACACAAACACGTTTCCTGTACTACGTGCAGATCCAGTGAACGCGTTGGCGTCGCAAAGGAAGCGCAGCAGTTCCCACGACCGACAAATCACGTGCTCGTGCGAGTCGCAGGAGCCGGTGTGGGTGCACCACGCCGTAAGGTCTGCTATCGAAGTGGATTCGCTGAAACTCACGTGAGTCAAGTCACCATCGAGGCCCGTAAGGATTGTTCGACATGGACGATTGCACCACAAACTTGATGCCAAACGGGTACACGTACAAGACATCAAGACGAGGTGAACTTCCGCGTTGGTATGATGTGGGAATGGGTGCGTACTACTCTATCATGATCGAATTGAGTACTATGGTGCAAGTCATCTAAAGACTACATACAGATCTTACACCATAGTACTCAATTCGGCCAGGTGGAGACGTTTTACTATTAAACGCCTCGGTTCTTTCAGTAAATATCAATACAAAGTTGGAATAGCTGTCGAACGACAAGGCATTTTTTGTAGTCTTTAGATGACTTACCATACAACAATAGATCATAGTGGGATTGACAACTCTACTTACAGTTAATACCGCAACAAGGGAAATGGGAGGAACCTGAGCTTGGCGGATCAAAGGAATAAAGTGTGTGAGGCATTTGAGCCCATGCAGTCGGATCTAGAGCACGGAGCTGTGCAGACACACTTGCAAGTGGACCGCGTCCACCTTGTTCGACGCATCATGGCGACTGTACAGCAGACGACTCAAATTCTTGACAGCCACATGCAGTGTGTACAAAGCCTCAAAGTGTCGCATATGAGGTGGAGTAATATCAAGCGGACAAGGTCAACCTCGCGGGACACACTTGCTTTGCATCGACAAGAAACTACAGCACTCCATGTATGCCTGGTTCGGGCAAGTGGAACGATTTCTAACAAGTACTATTATTGTGCTTTGTACCTTTTTTGGCAATTCCAGGGTTAAATTCATTGTTTAAAATTTTCTCAGGCTTAAATAATGTCTAAAGTAACTTGAATAACGGTTGGGTGCGTTGTTTAAAGTTACTTCATCTAATGCGATGATTGGTTGGTTGAAGGTGGTTTTACTGGCACTTTCGTAAAACAAGTTGTTTGCGGTTTTCATTCTGGCAAACAACTTGCTTTACGTCAACATGTCAAGGAGCTTGACGATGAAACTGAAGGAGCTATGGCCACATACATGACCTCCCATCCGTGATCACTACAGTACTAACATTATCTACTCCGAGTAATGTATATAACGTTAGGATATAGTTAGGCTACAGTACATGTAGTCGTCGCTCTGTCCAATGATTCAAAGCTATGCCATACCTTCAACTCTTGATCTGCTCTCTTAGCACTGTACGTGGAAGGCAAGGGCGCACTACGACTACACGATGTATAGTACTCCCATTTCACATCCTAATATGGTATGCATCGTGATGAACTGGTGGTTGTACGGCGTAAGTTGGCCTGGTGCTGCAACTCGAATACTGTAGTTAGCAGCTGAAATAAAGTAAGGGTTGTTTTTCTGC